ATAATAAATTACTGCATTTTCTGATGTGTCTCCGTACAACCCAGTGGATATTATCAACATTTTGGAGGACTTTCTTGGCTCAGTCTTCAAGATAGTAGAGAAAACGTTGGTAACTAGCTACAGTGCTACATGCCGTCACTACTCAAAAGATATCAACCTTCACATAAGCGCTGATGTAAACTTGCATGTCAGTATTAATGTACGTTTTCTTATTTTCAGAATGAATTCTTTGAATTAAACGAAAACCATTCAAGTATTGCCAATATAAATCTGTTTCCATTTTTAAGTGCTGTTGTGGGTCAGTTCTAATATACATTTACAGTAAACTGTACAATTAGACGTAGAAACAATGACATAAAGGATACTTCATAATATATAAAAATATATGAAGGGAATTGAAGTGGGGTTTGGCGTTCTGCCTAAACACATCCTCATGAAGACCGAGATGGTAGCGGAGTAAGGAAATCGATACGTGGTCACCTAGCACTCCACTGTACTGACAGAGCTAATGCCAGGGCAGATGATAGAGGCGGCAGGGCGTTCAGAAACGTTGGAACCTACACGGCGTCACATGACAGGGGACTGAATCATCAGCATTCATCTCTGCGGAAATCTAGAATGTCAGATATGTTCTTGCTTGAATCTGTATAATTTGGTATAGCATTCGCGGAAACCATTAGCGTATTTTGCTTTCATTACTGACTTATGGAAGTCAGACCTTCTTGAGAAGCCAAATCTGCAGCTGCTCAAGAATTTCCCAGCATTTTATGGAACCCGAAGGTTCCGTGTTCACAAGAGCACTCCACTGACCCTTAGCCAGATCAATCCATTCCGTTCCATCCTATCTCTTTAAGATCCATTTTAATATTCTCCACCCACATATGCCTTGTTCTTCCCAGTGGTCTCTTTCTTACTGGCTTTCCCACCAATATCCTATATGCTTTCATCTTCTCCCAATTCGTGCTACATGCCCTTCCCACGTCATCCTCCTTGACTTGATCATTCTAATTATACTTGGCGAAGAGTACAATTTCACATTATGCAGTTTTCTCCAACCTCCTGTCAATTCGTCTCTCTTCGGCCCAAAACTTTTCTTTCATAAGAACCTTAAGTCTCTCTCTCCTGCCATTAAGCACGAAAGTTACATATTTCAGAGTACATAGTCTTACGTATCATAAGCACATGTGAATATGTCCGAACTTCTAGTTGTCCCTCGGGAATATGTTCCGTTAAGGCAAACCTGCCTACGTATTTCCTCGGCTCATGCTTACTGTCCTCTTAGTCTGGGCAAGGGATGTAATGTTACCACTCGATATGGTAGAGGCTCGTAGAAGGTCTGTCACTTGAGAGGCATGTCTCGATGTTACAACTTCCGTTTATATTTCTGGTAACGACGCAGAACTCACCTGGGAAATAAACGTTTAATATAGGCGACTTGTATTTTATGACCACCGCAGAGAAAGAAGAGGGGATAACGATTTCAGATGCTATTTCCAAACATAAATATTTCCTCTCCGATAGTTGGCTTCCATAAAAATAAATAAATATTATATTTGAAGTTCCCACATCGGTGACTACAAGCGCTATCTTCTGGGTTGTAAAGCCCTCACAGTTCCTTAGAAGCAGACATCTCGAAGAAAAACATAGCTTCCGTCTTCAGGGTAGACGAGTAAGCCAAGAAAGCATAAGGAAGAAGGAAGTAACAAGAAACTCTTTTTGTCCAATTTATTGTTCTGTCAGAACAAAATGGAGACCAAGGACACATGAGCCCCAATTTTAGTAGCTAACGTTACTTTGTTTTGCCCAATGTATATTGAATTAGTTTTAGTACGAATTCCCTAAAGGCTGTAACATTACTGGGGTAATTTCACTGTTACGATGCATCAATCTCCCCCGCCATGCGCCCTTCAATATGTAAATTCTGAGCCAAATTCTATCTCTAATTACAATGGCAATTTGGAACAACAAAGCCGACAATAAAACGGTATCACAAAATATAACGTTAAACTCCTTTCAGAGCAGCGGTTCTGAACCGAGGGTGCGTGTGCCCCTAGAGGAACGAGGGATGTTTTTGATACATTTACAGAGATGAAAACGCCTGAACATTTTGACAAATATTTTTTTTCCTACTTCTCTGCATGGAATGAATAGAGATTTTTTAATTTTTTCGTGTTCTCAATACACGATAACACGTAACTTGGTGCAGAAATAAAGGCCCCACTTAAAAGGAGAGCTTAAAGTTTCACTCCTTGAGCAAGGTATATGTAAAGTTTCAATCTAAAACCTAGGGACGCTTGAGGCATCAATCTGAGACCAAGGGTTACGTGAACTGTCCGAGACAATAGGGTGCATGAAATTTCGCATTGGGATCACAGAATTCGTGAAGTTTCACTCTGAGGTGAGGAATACGTCCAATGGTGAAGGTTAATAAATTCTCTTTTAAAGGAAACGAGCATATTACCTTCAAATAAATTTACTTTTGTGTCCATTGAAGTGGACAGTGTGCTTATCCTTACAGCAACAGAAAACACAAGTCACGTGATAGCCAAGTACTGTTGGGGTGTGACGTCATTGCGCAAGCGTAAGCTACAACGACAAAAGAACTCTGCTATTGTTTTGAGTGACGTCACCGCCTATGCAGAAGCGTGTTTACCGAGCCGTTGCCTGGAAAGGGATTGCATAACACCGTTGTTCCTTTGTTACGAGCGTGTATTACTTAGCAACGGCTCTATCTGTGGCTCAACATTTCTTGCATGGCGTAAACACGGCACACTATATAATCTCTGTTTCTTATTCATACTCGTCAGTTAGTCGTTATTACCGTGTCATGCAATCTTCCTCAAAGATTCGCCGTGACTCTGCCGCAACTTCTCCGACACATTTGTCGTTCATTTAGTATAAGCAGTACGCTGCAGGCGGTACTTCCGCAGTTTATCAGTACCGCGAGGAAATTCGGCGTGATTTCCCCAGAAGTGGTGCACAGTCTGCTTGTGCGGACATTTTGTACTATTTGTTTCCTACGGTTTGAATGGCGCTCACTGGTTGTTGTTGTTGTTGTTGTTGTTGTTAGCTCTGCCACTGTCTTCGAGGCGTAAGAATGTGCTATTAAGATTTCGACTGACATCATTCTTCTTATAAAATAATATGACAAATTTCAAACAGCAAACTGGAGTTGTTTCAAATTTTAGAGCCTCAAATAAGCTATCTTTCTAGCTTAGTAACAGTCGAGTGGCCGGTCAGAGACGAAATTGGTAACTTAATGACCTAGAAAGTGATAAGGTGCTGCCTGATGGGTGTAATCGCCCAGTTCAGGGAGTGATAATAAATGAGTACGGAGAAACTCAGATATAAACCTGGTCCTGTGTCACTTGGTCTATCACGAATCTCTCATGTAGTCACTGGGGATTGAACCCGACGTTCTACAATGTGAAGCCGGCGCCTGGGATATGGCACGGATCTTAAAGTTGATCACTGGGCTGGTTGGCATAGCGGGACAGTCTAGATTTGATTAAATAGGCGCTCATTTCAAATGCCTACAAGGACACAGACTATTTTCACTGAGGTTTCCGTGGTTTTGCTCAGTCCCTCTAATTGATTGCCAGAACAACAGCTTCATTAGTCAAAAATGAATTATAAATTCTTTATAATCCATCATTCACCGAATATCCTGCCATTCGATGAAATAAATTCTAAAGATTAATAACATCGTAAAGTAATCCACAAATGCATCGATTTAAGGGCGGTTGTTCGACAATATTTAAAATTATATCAGCTTCAGTTTCTTCCTAAACGGCTTATTCATTACTTCGTAATTACACTGCATTTTGTCTGTTTCCCTGGCGGATTCCGGTTATCTTTTCGAATTGTCATTATGTTTACAGTTCTTATTTTACTGATACTTTATAAATTGATGATTGTAACTGGGATCGAATCCTGACCCTTCGAAGAATAATCCTGCATAGTAAACACCAGACCGCCGGCCACGGTAGCCGAGCGGTCTAAGGCATGCACTGTCTTCGCTCGCTCGGAAGCCGGGATCGTGGGTTCGGATCCCACTGAGGGCATGGATGTTTAGTTTGTGTGTGTGCGTTTTTCTGTGTTTGTGTACAGGTAGAGGCCTTGCGACGAGCTGATCACCCGCCCAAGGAGTCTTACCGAATGTGTAAGATCTAGAAAAACCGAAGTGAACGGAGTTCATGGAGGTAGGCCTAGGCCCACTGGGGCTGTAGTGCCAAGGGGGAAAAAACACCAGACCGCTACAGTAGTTCTGATATTACCATTAATGACAAAATAACTGGCAGCATAATGACTTCCAGTCACTAAATATGGAAGTTGAGCCAACTTCCCTGATATTCGTGTATATTGATACAGAGACAGTGTCCGACACTAATACGGGCACAAGACACGCCGGAAAATAATGTTACACTCTTGGATATAATTGCTGATTTGTTCATCATTAATTTGATAATGATCATTAAACTTCACATGTTGAATAGAATCTAATTTTAGGGCTATATAAAGTATGAATCGGAAAGGATGTGGATGTACTATTAAGGCAAAATTCTAGCAGTTTGTGGAATGACTAATTTTTGTTACAATTAACTAAGAAATTGACGTTCTGGACCAGTCTCTAACCACAGACTACCGGAATGCAAAGTTGTTTTGTTAGCTATAGATATATGGCAGTTTCAGTCATTAAGAAATCTAAACAATATTAAAAGACTCAGTTCGTACCTCACAGAAAACAAACTTTTGTTCATTAAAGTGTCAGTCTGTTGATGCTGTTCAGGGAAGGAATCTCTGTTTATTGTGAGAATTGTAAGAAACACACAAAGACGCCCTGTCGGCAAAGTGAATAGTATTTGAATGTTATCTAAGCTGATACATGACATAACCACTTGACTTTAAATGGTTAAAACTTGTCAGTCAGAAGTTTAACGACCTCATCTAGTAGAAAGACACAAGCGGAGTTAACTTTATTATCACTCTTCGTGTTTCAGGTCATGGGAGCAAGTGTAGACTTTATTGAAGAAGTTCCCTGGGAGCCGGAAGGGCATATACACGGCCGGTGAGTTGTGATGTGAACATTCAACTGTTTTATAGTGCACAAGGGCGTTTTATTTTTAACTAAACGTAGCGCTGTCTTTCCCTCTGTGTTTGTGTAAAGGAGATACTTGACGCCAAAGCTCGTAATCCGTGTATGGAACTTAGTTTCAGTCTTAAAGTATGTGTCTATATAGAATATAATTTATAGTTTAATATGCAATAACATAATAATGATACCAATAATAACTGGCATTTGAGGACACATTCATACCCGCAAATTCCTAAATTGTATATGGAAGTCCTATCCGATCATTGATCTATGGATCTCGATAAGAATCTAAAAAGTAAGGTTACGTAAAACTTTGACAAGCAAACACTTGTGCTTGACCTCATCTCCTGTAGTGGTCCCTAGGTGCTTACTTTACAGATGTCTGAGCGTTCAATAAATACTCATATCTTCATACTGCGTAGGGGCCCGCAGTTCGCTCTCTTATTCCATTTATCAGAGCTTTGTGACGGCCTGGAAGCACGCCAATTTCATCTCTCTGCATCGAGAAGTGCTCATAGTTTTGACATGGTCCCTAACGCAATCACCAGATTAGAATTTTGTCTGAGTTCTCTCTTCCAATAGTTTTGCATTCTGAGTCTAGGTCCTCTGATATTGTGGATGTCAAAAACCATCACGTGAAAATCTGAAACTGTTCTGACGTCACTACCTCACCAACTAATCGACTAACTCCCTGGCAGTAGAATTTGAAGGTCCAGCATTTCTAAGAACAAACCCACTGTGGGAAACGGTTATATGCGAGCGGGTTACCGGAGCGGTAACTCTATAGACCTATATTTGGAAGGTGCTGGGTTCGAATTTCTTTTGGAGATACCGGTTATTTTTACTGAGATTATTCATGATTTTTATTCCTCAGTTCATCTAGGGAAATTCCGGGATAGAAACTCAAATAAGGCAAGACACTCACTTCCAAATCCTTTCCAATCCCTTATTTATCAGTCATCCTACTATTCAACCCTATGCAATCCGAGATAGCGGCAAGGCCGAGAAGTAAGCCACAGCGAATAATGATTACAGTTTCTTCCATCGGATTTTATTCCCTTGTGACCCATCTCTCGGACATCCATCTTAATGTTATCCTTTTGTGTCTTTCTCCATCATCACAATGACCGATTTGAGAGGGTCCCCACAAAAATTCCCTGTAACTCTTTTTCTTCTTCCATCCTACCTACATTCCCAGCCCATCACACCCCCTTAAATTTTATTGAGCTAATAATATTAAGTGACATCTAATAATGAAACTCCTCTAAAGGTTTTAAACCGAAAGTATTCTATCAGACACACTTATGTTGTACGGTTATCATTGTCCGTTAAATAAGTTTTATATTTTTCTGGTTCCATTAAATAGATCTAAACGCCGTTCCCGTCTGAGGATATCAGATGATCATGTCGTGAGACTCTACTTTGCTTTTTCCTAGTGTCTTAGGGTGGGGGTGAGACTGAGTCCACTTGGTACGTCGGCCACTAACTGGCCTATTGTACCGGCCTCGGATGATAGATGATGATGATGATTGTGGAGCAATTGGTGGAATGAGAATTTGCAGAGGAAACGGAAGTACTCGGAGAAAACCTGCCCCAGCACCACTTTGTTCACCATAAATCCCACATTACTTTACCTGGGCTCGAACTCGGATCGCCGCATTGAGGAGCCGGCGACCAACCGCCTGAGTTATGGCACGGTCATCGCTACATAACTTATACCTTGTAGAAGGAAGCCATAAGGAAGAAGCATAAAGCCTGAATTGTTAGCGTATTGCTTTTGTTTCGTATTCGGGAGGTTCGCTCCCGGAATCTGGAACGGGGTAAATTCCGGGAGAGCGCCTTGATTACTATGCAGACGCTTTCCAAATCATCATTCATCGATCATCCTACCATTTGACGCCGTGTGGTCTAGATAATGACAACTCCGCAAAATAGCTTACCAGAAAAGAAACAGAAACTGTTAAAGAGGCGATGGAAAGCGTATCAGGAACTGTAGTGCGTGTTTGTAATAACATTTTGTTTGAATTTACTAGTAACACATGTTACTAGTTTTATTTGTGTGACTGATACTCAATTTAGTTTAATTAATACAGCATTGCAATGTTCTCCGCCCCACCAGTGACGCAGTTTCGCGTCTGCAAGAGAATGTACAGCTCTAGTACTTAGAGGTGACAGTCCTCCGACGCGGAGTAGGAGAAGTATTGGTAGTGGTGGGGAGAGCTCCAGCATGCCGACAAGTGTGGACACCCTAGCCTGTGCGCGATGTCATTATACTCCGCTCATGTAACTTAGGTTTCTCAGCTTGCACTGCTTATGTACGTTTTACGAATAATTCAATAAAACCAAGATTGTGATACTTTTCATGATCACGGATTTTTTATTTCTAGTGGGGTGGGACTAAGTCCCTTGTACTGCGGCCACTTCTGGCCTATTGTACCAGCTCCAGATGGTAGGCGAGGGTGATTGTGGAGCAATTGGTGAAATGAAGATTGGCAGGGGAAACCGAAGTACTCCGAGAAAACCTGCCCAAACGCCACTTTGTCCACCACAAACCCCACTTGACCAGACCCGGGATCGAACCCGGGCCGCCGCGGTGGGATGCCAGCGACTAACCGCTTGAGCTATGGCGCGGCCTAATGATCACGATTACAGAGTCCACGAATGCACCGCGTCCCGTCTATATATATATATATATATATATGTGTGCATATCGCTACCATCGCTTACAGAAAACTCCATGTCCAATTATAAAGACAGCAAATGGTAAGGTTATATAGGGTTTGAGGTTTTCACAGCGGTGACTATGAAGAAAGCAGTCTTGTGGAGTGTGACGCCGTGCAGTCGGTAGCACTTTAACAGTGTTTCAGAGGGACGTACTCCCTTCTTTCTTAGTCTGCCTCCCGCGTACTTACTGCTTATACCATACTATTTTCGGCCCTGAAGAAGGAAGCGATACGTTCCTCCAGAGAGTTTGTGGACCACTATCAGACTTCACGGCGTCGCTTCCTTATGACTGTGCTCCTCAGTCCTTCATTGATATATTTAATGTTAATACTTTATTTGGCCCGCAAATTTTGAGAACAAGATTAAATTGTTAAAATAAATGAAATAAAAAAATTAAAAGAAAACAAAAACAATAATTTTTCATGAAAACGTAAGGTGCATCTCTTAACGAATGATGAAATGAACAAAGGGAAAAATAAACCAATTACTGAATTTCAACATATTGCCTGTCTCAAGAAAAGTCATGAACACAGTACCCAATAACAATTACAAAATTATTGATCCACTCAAAGGAGGTGGATATACTGGACATAGAGCACGCATACGGAAGATTACACAAGATTACACACACTTTTAGTTGGAAAGCTTGAAAGGGAGAAATTACCTGGGGAAACATAGGCCAATAGAAAGAGAATAGGAGCTTTGGATTGGATTCATCTGGCTAAGAATAGTGAGCGGTGGTGGCTTATTATGTGAACACGGTATTGAAAGTGAACATTACATGTCCTGGCAAGTAACGCCTTGTAATTTGATGGATCGTTACCGCTGTTTCAGGGGTACTTCTTGCCTCCATCTGCAGGTAGACTAAGAAATCATGTTCCACCGAAACGTCGGTAATTTGTTGTACTACGTGGCGTTATATGCAGAGAGATGATGATCTTTATTGTCACTGTAGTGGTAAAGATAAAGAAAAGTGTAAGGTTATCATTGTAACAGGCCGTGGAGGCACTTAGGGTTGTGAGACCTGGAGGCTCCAGCTTTTTCTAGTTAATCGGCTCACAGATGGCGGTGAGGTCGTCAGCCTTGCGCGCCGACCGCCCGCCCAGTCGGCTCCAGGGCCATAGTGTGTGGCCGAACCTTAAGAAACTGAAATCAAACGAAGCGTTTCACAGATGCCTTATGCTCCAAGTGGGAGCAACAGGACCAGAACACGAAAAAAGAAAGTATAGGACAGTAATCAGTTTCGGATGAAAGCCTCTGCTCCGTTGAGTGAACAAAATGGTGCATATTCTGGAACCTGAAAACAACTGTTACTGCTTTTGAGAGGTAATAAAGAAATAACAGAATATAATATTTAGTCACAGTTTGTCTATCCACGTTGAAATTTTGCAAAGTGCCCCTGTACATTACTGGTGTTCGTACGGATATCCGAGTGGCTGACAAATAACTGACGCGTTGCAGCTAACCTACCTTACAAAAAGGATCTACTTGTCACTTTCAGCATTACAGTAATGTACGTCAAAACACAGACCACAAGATCTTCATACTTCCACAAACAATAAAACGCTTCCTACTGTATTTTAATGTCACTTTAACGCCAAGTTCACTAGTCTAATTAACTACATGGAGTTCAGTTTATACCGTGAATATGACAGATGCTCAGCTAGTCAAAAACTGAACACATATTGCAGTCTTCAAAATAGCCCACAAGAAATCCCTATCTTGAAAAACGTGAATTTAGTTCAGAACCTTGTGCTTGTGACATTTGTTCCTCGAAGCAAGTCTTTAAATTTGTAAGCAGTTAATTTACGCAATAACTGCACATAATAAATCAAGTAATTTAAACAGTTGTGTAACTTCGTTTCGTCGGAAGAATGCCAACTGAAATGTGTTACTGGATGCTAAGCTGTTAAATGCCAACATCTGCTGCTTGCAACCCAAAGTATATAAGACCGTAACAGATCCCTTTTAATACACTTCAATTAAGAAATCTTCCTATATATATACACACTCGTATTGTCACGTGGTAGCGTAGTTGGTTGAGGCAATATGCTACAAGCAGGAAAGTCGCGGGTTCGAATCCCAGTGAGGTGGATCTTTTCAATGTACCTAATCTTTCCAGCCATACTAACGCCCTGGGGTCGACTCAGCCTCTAACAGAAGTAAGTACCAGGAATATTCTCGGGGTTAAAGGGTGGCCGGCGTGTAAGGCTGAGAACCTCACCGCCATCTGTGAGCCGATTGTCTAG